AATTTTCCTCTAGATGCAAGGAAATAGAAGATCAAAATATTGTCTCACTTATTCAAATACACAAAAACAATAAAATCTATAGTGCACTAGAGCTGCCTTTCTTTGGAGGAAGAAAATACTGCATATTGAATGAGGGATTCGAATTGTATACGCTCCGAGTGTAATTGAGAGTTTAGTGCATCACTATTGAATGCGAGTCACTGTTGAAGAATCACTATAAGTCATGAAGTTTGATTGAAAACAGTCACAAAAGTTCATTATCTAACTTTTGGATTCAAAAAATGAACCTCTGTAACTGTTGAAATTGTTCCTTCTTTAGTCTAAAGACTCTAAATACTATTTTATTCCTATCGTTCAATGTGGGACTGACCCCACATTTGCTCTCTATACAACATGTCAAGAACAACTTTTGCAATGGTTCAACGGATTTTTAAAATAATCAATACTGTTTTTTTATACAAGAGTGCTTGCGTATATTGATAATAATCCGGATCGGTTCAAATTAGTGATCCAGAAAATATTAAAAATAAATAAAAATTAAAATAAGGGGTTTATTGGGTGGAGATCTAGAGATGACCTAAAAATATATTAGATAAACTATATATATTAAGGGAATTATGCCAGGAGCCATACCATCCTATAATTGGTTCGGTCCCCGCCAATTCCTATATGAATCGGCAATCCGGATCCAAAATCGCTGGGTTATATAGTTTGAGCTTAATGTAGATTTTTTCTTTCTTTTTGTGGGTAAAAGCTTGATATAGAGTTCGTGTTCTCTTTCATCATCTTTTACTGATCCAAAATTTACATTTATTTTCGCTCGTGAGCTCATGGTGTGCGACTTTGTTCTTTATTCGCATAGTTTTTTTTTTTTCCCTTATCTTTTAAATGATTCCTGGTGATTTATCCTAAGGAAATTTATCAAAAGAGCCATAAGAATGTTATGTTAATTTGCAATTATTCAATACTTTATGAATTTGCAATATTCCAATATATCACTATTTAATCAAATTTCCTTTACCATGTATGAAAGATCTACAATGAGGTTCTTATTCCAATGCAAGCACCCCGGAATTACCCGTGATTAATTTAGGATGTCACACATATTATAACTCATTAGGTGGCGAAGACCCACTATTAGGCGGTGTAGGTTAATTAAAGTGGAAGTAGTGCAAAAAATACATGAGGACTTATGGCCTACAGAAGATATGATCCTTAATAGAGCAGAACGGCGGACCAGGATTCATGTAGTCGATCCCAATTAATTGAAAAAAAACTATGATGATGATGATGAGCTGTCCGAGATTAATGTGAATCAATAATGAAGGGGGCTGCATTTCAACATAGAAATTTACCAAAATAACTATAAAAATTTAACTATTTACCATTTAACATTTACCTATTTGAGACTATTCCAGTTCCGTATCATGTATGCTTTTTATAGGTCTTTCAAAATTAAATCCAAGTTATGGGCAAAGTGTTAAATTAGGATTAATAATAAATTCCAATTCATCACCCTTGATTTTTTTTTTTCCACCATTACCCTCGATTATTTCCCCTGATCCAACCATTAACTGTAATTGTAAGTTACCCATTAATTTTCGAGTTTATTGCCCCCTCTCCCCTCTCTCTCTCTCTCCTGAATATTGTCAAATTCTGTGACCTGGATGGTTGTGTAAGATCAGTTTAATAGCGAAATAAGGTGACATGAGCATTGAGTTGGCAAGTTTTTAGTGTGCTGGGTTTCACGAACACATTAACTTCTGCTCATTTGGTTCCTTCATGTTAGCACAAACAACAATGTGTTCCAGAATCACACTGTTTTCATACACTGTATTGGCCAGTGTTAAAAACACAAGGACTCAGGTCGGGATTCCACAGGTTCCCGAGCCCGAGTCAGATCTGAGTTTGTCAAAGACCCATCTGAATCCAAATGAGAAAAACAACAAAATATTGGAAACGGTCCAGATTCAGCGGTTTCTATGTGCTTGGCTCTAGACTGGTAGTCTACAAGCCAAAGTAACTCTCGAGTTGGGCTATTGAGTTATGCAACACTGGTATTGACATAACTGCCGAGGCCAAGGCCCATTTGGTTGGGATAGCAAATGCTAGAAAAATCATCCAAAGGGCATTTTATTTTTCTTCGTTCTGAAATACTAATAGCAGGAACAAAGATCATGTTCACAAGTCCTTAACCAAAGCAAAATAAGATCCATGCATGCAGCTCCTGTTGAAGCCATTTGGTTGTCAGCATCACTTAAAGAATATTAGCATTGTCATTGGATCAAGCGGTATGTTTCCTTAAAGGGTGAAATATATGAAAATTGTTTGTCATTTAATTCGAGGTTGTTTTGCTACTGCTGAAATAATGGATTATCCATGCATGTTTTTAATTATTCGACATTGTAAACAAATGCATGGCTTCAGTTCTGTGGTTTCTAGTTGACAATATATATTATTTGTGTGTTGTTTGTTCATACCAATAGAGAGACAAATGGAGATACAGATTCTTTGGCCAAGGACAGAGTATCAAAGCATTCATAAACATTTGGTAGAATTTTGACTTACTTTTTCTATGCGGCATAAACAGGATTAATATTGTATATGATGAGATTCGACCGTACATGTAAATCATTTTTGATCAGCGGTACCAACAAAGAAAGATTGTATCTGTTATGTGAGGTGTGCTTGTGCATGTATAGTTAACTCGAATGCATTTAAAGTCAATACTACTGTGAATGCATTTTAGACATCTTCTCAAATTATAATTGTATTTTAAGGAATCATTCGCAACGCCTTGTAGAGAAAAAATATTCTTAAAGCCACTGGTTTCGATGGATATGCCCATTCTTTGGCTTTTTCCAGGCATCAAAATGGGATGTTAGCAGGATATAGGAAATGATCCAACAAGATAGAGTATAAAGATCCGATTTGTTTGGATCAGAGCTGCTATAGCAATGATAAAGTTGAGAAACCCTCCAAGTGAGGCCTCTTAATTTGATTATCATAGGTGATTTAAGAATGGAGATTTACGGTCTCACTGAAGATATGACTTTTAATAGAGCACAATGGAGAACCAGGTGTAATGTAGCCAACCCCAATTAAAATGCTAAAGTGATGATGCTGATGATGAGGTGGTTTAAGAAAATTTGTGATTACTAAGAGTGTAATTCACCACTGGAAGCCAAATGATTACCTTTAGTATTTAGAGTAATCAACATTTCGCTAGGTTTCTTAAATGTGCCAAGTATATTAGATCGTAGGGCTGCATTGTCATAAAGCAAAACCATGTAATTTATCATGAAGATTCTCAATTCAAGTAACATGATAAAGAGTGATTTCTTTAGGAGCAATACTTGGACCTAGCATTTTAGAATGGATTGCATCAGAAATAGGCAAAAGACAACTTTCACTGCTATGAGATCCTTAGTGTTTTGGGCAAGTTGCATATGTTAGCCATGCACGCATATCAGTGGTATAGGACTCAAACACAATCTCAAGGAATCAGAAGTTTTTGTTGCTGTCATTATGAGATGGATATCTCGTGCTTAGATGCCAAATTCCAACAATGACAGCTCCATGACAAAAAGTAATCAAATGCGAAGTGTTGCAGAATGCATGAATAGACAAGTCCCTTTTCATGACCATGTTAACGTGTTTTCCAGTCATAATCAATGGACACAATCACCTATCTTAATAATTAGAGTGACAATTTTGCTCGCAAGTCGGCCAACAAAACTGGGTTCAAGCAAATATCAAATAAAATACTCGATAATCGAATATGATAATATTTTAATGATTACCATCTGCACTGGAGAAAAAGAGACACCTTTTAATTTCATGACCAATGCTAGTGCTGGTGTATTTCATACTGTTTTCAAATACATGAATTTAGCAAGTGGCAACATGACAAGGGAACTAGAAGAACTATCGTATTAGGAGACAAACTGAACAAGATGGGAAATGTAATAAGCAGGGTTCCTGTGGATATACTCTGATTGTCCATGGGGTTAGTGCATATACTCTCCAGTTTGGACAGTGTTGAAACACACATAACTTCGGTGACAATTTTTGGCCTGGCTTAATGGGCTATACACTTAATGCCACATTTTTGTGGCGGTAGCATTTGATTTGCTTGGAATATAAATTGGTTGGATCTCATGGATCAGGATGATGGCCACCCATTGACAAATATGGATTAGCTCACCTGGTGGATGACCGGGTTGATAAGTCATTAGTCGTGAGAGTGGTGATGCAAGTCTATGCTTCCATCTTAGGAAATATGTAAAATTACAGTTGATACCCAATCTTCGTAGAACTTTGAATGAACAGCTATCATCGTGTCGAGAAGGCAAGACTTTGATTCCTGTTGAATAATGCAGCATCAATTGGGGAGGAACCACAAGAGACTGCTTGTCCTTGGTAAGGACACCATATCGATCATCTAGACCACCAGGACCATGAATATCAGGGAAACAAAAAAGGAGTTTGAGCCCTAAGAATAGCCTTTTGTAATTTTTTTATTCCATGTTCATTTTAATTCTTCATAGATTATAAGATTTCCACTGTTTTTTGGACCTCCAAAATCATGGATCTAAGGTGGAAATGAGTTTATAGTGATTTGGGACGTGGTTCAGGTCCCAAATCCTTGAAAACCAAGTGGACGCATCAGTTGATTAACTCAACAAATTCTTCTCTGACTTTAAAAGCATGTAAGCAAATACAAACACAAACATACATGACCGAACTCATGCACGTGCACAAACATGCGTGCGTGATAAATATGTCCAATTTAAATCAACGAATTTCAATTTCTACAAATCCAAAAGTTATATGCTCTCATGAGCTTATCGTCCATTCCCTTCCTCGAGTAAAACCTTATCTTGGGACCCAAAATTTTGGGATGTAATCTCCTTAACCTAGTGACCAATTTAAAAAAAAAAAAAATCCATTCGCCCTACATGTGTGCTTGTTCTTCTTCTTTGTTTTTGGTGCTATTCATCTGGTGATTCTAAAGTGGATCACAAACTTTCAGGTCGAAAAATATATTTCTGAGTACCTCTTTAATCCAAGAAAGTAACTGCACATTATGCTCCTGTGGGAGAGGGTTATAAATGCTCCTGTGAAACATGAGAGGCCCAGATCCTTGCATTCCTCATTTGAATCACTAGCAAGTCCACAGTCCTGTAAATCTCCTCAATTTGAGGATGTGAAAAATCCCCTGCCATAAATACTTCAACTTGGGCCTTCACCTCAATCCAACTACACCCAGGCACCTTCCTCAACCCCCTCTCTCTCATTACATGCCTCAACTTCTCTCCCCCCTCCCAATTCCCACTCTCACAATACATATTGGCTAGTAATACATACCCCATGTCATATCCTGGTTCTATGCTTATCAACTCCTTTGCGACTCTCTCACCTAGTCCAATATCCACATGCTTTGCACAAGCTCCTAGCAAGGCTTCACATGTGTTATATGCTTCTCTCTCCATCCTTGGTTGAGCAAAGGCTTTTGCCTCCTCTATACTCCCATGTCTCCCTAGCATGTCTATCATGCAAGCTGCGTGCTCTTGCTGAGGTTCAATGCCAAAATTGGCACTCATCAGCTCATAGTACTTCTTTCCTTGCTCGACCAATCCTGTGTGGCTGCATGCAGTCAATAAGCCGATGAATGTCACTTTGTCCGGCTTCCACCCTCCCCTTAACATCTCCCCAAACACCATAAAGGCCTCTTGAGCCAACCCATGATGTCCAAAACCAAATATCATGGCATTCCAAGAGACCTCATCCTTGCAAAAAATGGCTTCAAACACCTTGTGAGACCCTTTTATGTCACCACATTTTGCATACATGTTCAGCAGTGCATTGCCCGTGTAGGTGTAGGAGTGAAAGCCTAAATGGATTACGCACCCATGTATGAGCTTACCTTTCCTAAGGAGCGCCAAATTGGAGCATGCATGGAGTGCGGCTCCGAGGGTGAAATGGTCCAGTTGGATGCCGCTATCATGCATGCGAACAAAGAGGCTCAACGCTTGACCACTATGCTCATTCCTAGCACACCCTGCGATCATTATGGTCCATGATATGGTGTTTCGAGTGGGAGCACACTCAAACAAGGCAAGAGCTTCTTGTACAGATGCGTGCCTCATATGAGCAGTTATGATTGCATTCCATGAGACCTGGGTCCGGACATTGATCAGCGAGAAGAGGTTCATAGCCTCATCTAGCGAACCCAATTTTGCATAAAAGCTCAAGATCGAGTTGCGTACTTCAACTTCCAAGTCTAAACCACTCTTAATTGCATGAGCATGGATGGCATGACCGGTAAGTGTATCTACACAGCCACTCACCAGGCTCACAATAGTGACAAAATCGGGTGAGCCACCAACCATTTCCATCTCTTTGAACAACCTTAAGCATGTGTTAAATTCTCCTACTCGAGCATAGCCCGAAATCATGACATTCCAAGCAAATGTTCCTCTATTTGGCATGTCAACAAAAATTTTATGCGCAATTTGAAGCAACGAAGATTTCACATATGAACAAAGCACAGAGCACCATGAAAGCTCATTGCGGACCCCCATGCCATTAAATACATCGAAAGAGCTTGAAGGCTCATGGCATTTTCCATACATGTATATGAGAGAATTGCACACTGGCAAGCTCGACTGGAACCCGAAAGAGACTACTAGACCATGAAGCTTTTTACCGTAGTTCAAGCTACCCAAGTCGGCACATGCGCTTATAATAGCGGTGAAAGAGAAGCCGTCTCCTTTCGGGCCCCAGGCTCTCATGTGTGTGAACAAGGATATGGCTTCATGGGCATGGCCTAGTTGCGCATAGCCCGTCAGCATAGCATTCCATGAGACCACATCTCTTTGAGGCATTTGATCAAACACTCTTCTGGCCTCACTGACATTTCCCTCTCTCACTAACGTGGATATCATAGTGGTAAGAGATAACATATCGGCACGGGAAATGGTACCAAACATGTGGCATGCGTTCCGAATATTTAAGGGCATTTTGGTCATTTTGATAGAAGGGTATTTTGGTCATTTCTCCCTGCTCATCCCCGCCCAACAAATTTGAATTTGTCCGAACCTCGACCCGGTCTGCCAACTATTTTGACACAAAAATTGAAAGCACCCAATAACTCAAAATTGATTGAGTCCGACCCCGAGTTCAGAGTCAAATTTCAGCTATAAATTGTTGCTCCTCTCTCTATATATTTATCTGTCTACCTATTTTCTGTATTTATCTATCTATCTATCTATCTATTTGATTGTAGAAAATGGAACATGGACAAAAGAAATAAATAAAAAGATAAAACAATGGCAAGATATGCGTGACTTGGCCAAGTTGCAATGGATACATGTCAGATGGGTGGAATGCAGTGCGTATCACTTCATGATGTGCAATCCGGCCTAATGGTTGAGATCTCTTTGCTACCGCATCATAAACTCAAATCTGACCATTCTTTCAAAGGGTACTACACTTTCCGACTTTGTACTGTTTGATGACTCTTTAATGACAAGATCTGCATTATTTTTTCAGATGAAGGAGCAAGTAGTAGACACAAGTAAGTGACATAGACCATTGACATGCCCTAGAATAGTAATAATAGACAATTGACATAGAAGAAATATTTTTCCTTTGAGTACCTTTTCAAAAAAATAAAATATTTTTTCTTTAGAGGAATTTATACTTAAAAACTATCATTGAGGGGAACCCATGCATTGAGTTAATGTAGTGAAAACCCAAGGATGAAATCTCACCGAAAGTTGTCGTTTTGATGCTAAAAAGCATCAAATCGATCATCTTGACCTTGACCATTATCGATTAAAAAATGAACCTTAAAACTTAAAATAGTGTATTTTGATATTTACTACATTTAAAGCTTCAAAATTGGAAAAAGCTAAGGTGGTGGTGGTAACTCCCCCACATCCCTTGACACCACTCGGCTAACACCTTTAAAAAACTAACTCCTAAACTATTTGAAAAAATGGGGTGAGGCTTGTCTTTCCTATTGAATTACCCAAAAAACCAATAATTCAAATTTCATAATTACTGGTACAAATTGATTTTCAGGCCATGGTAAGAGTTTTTGGCTCCCAAATTGCATTTTCCAGCCGAATTTCAAGGTGCCAAAATTACTTTTTCAATGCTAAGGGCACCCTTTATACATTAAAAAATGAGAATTTTTCAAACTGTGGTGGCGATAAGAGGCGACAAAGCATTTCTAGTTTTTCTCAAAATGTAAGTTATAATATTATTATTTATTTATTTACTTTAAACTTTGGTGGGGTAGAGGTTTGTTGGAATAGAGCTTAGATGTGAAGTAGTGACCATTACACCCCAACCGACAGCGCAGATCCCATCACCGTTCATTTTGTTTTACCAAGATCATTACCGTCCATTATATACCTAGTCTATTTGATGTGATGGATGAAGCATAAGGAACTGAATAACTTAATGCAGTGATGGCATGGACCTCATCAATGACTTTGACAATTATAAAAATATAGGTAGAGGATTTTTTATCATGAAAAAATTTAGATCATCTTTAGTCACCTCAAAGATCGATTCTATATCAAAAAGAAAAAAAGAAGAAGGAAAGAATAGAAAATATCTGGAGCTCAAAACAATCACCAAATCAATGAATTCTCCAAATTGATCCTGGAAGTGGTTTGTATGTCCAAGGTGTAGGGGCTTTTTTTTTTTTTTTGCCAAGGTTAACCAATGATTACCTTTTAGTGCCGAAAAAAAGAAAAAAAAAAAATATATATGCAGGAAGACCACTTATCTTGGGTAAATCACAATTATTGTTGATCATTAGATTTGGAACCAGACAGTTAGTAATGTCGATTCAAAAAAATAATTTGAATAACTTTTGATAATTAATAATGATTGTAACTTCATTATACCAATAATCGATAATATTATAATATAGAATCCCCCACCCGAAAAAACCACAACTACATTCGTCTTGAGAGCTGGTTGGACCATGTACCTTTTCCCATTTTTCATTCTCCAAAGTTCCTAAGAACCTATAAAGAAGACACCACTTGTTTCTTCATAAGTGACCTATAAATAGGTTTCTTTAAGGTTAACTTTTCTAACTTCTTAGTGGACTTCTTTAGTATGAGTCTATAAATAGCTTTCTCTAAGGTCAACTTTTCTTACTTTCTAGTGGACATCTTTGATGAATATGAGTAATTTGGCCATTTTGTCACTAACCTCGATATCATCAACTAAAGCTTGTCGTTTTGTTGCCATTGTACTCAATTACGTGTTCATTACACTTTCTATTACAATGAGAACAGTATGGTCCATATGATCAAGGTAAAATATAGCCGTCTCCATCAATAGATGGGATGTGTTTAGAAGTGTGGGTTCAGTTTTTTTTTGTGTAGGTCGGTGGGGGATTGGGTCCTCAATCATATTGTGGCTATTCACCACCGCGGCCATTTTTTGTGGCTATCCACCACCGCGGCCATTTATTGCCCTAAGCCCATTCTTGTCTAGGTTCTACTAATGTAGTCATTGTATGTCTTTTTCTCTTTATCCCTATCCAACATTGGACGGCAATGATTGTCATGATTTATTAATGTAATGTTAACAAGATCATATGGATCATACCTTGCTTCTCCATTGCACTTTAGGTGTGCAGAGGAACATGGGTTAGGCCTAGGGTCAAGGTTGGCTAGGTCCAGGCCCAGCCCATGGCTAGCCCAAACATACACGTCACATTGGCCAAAATGTTTATTTCTTAAAAAAAAATCATTTTTTTAATATTTTTTTTTTGTATTCTCCCATGGACATGTTTGCTAGTGTCAATTCCATTAAATGAGGTTGAACAAATATCTACAGCGTCGGGTTTATTTTTTGCATTATTAGCTTAGCTTACCTTAAGTGTAAGGGTGGCAACGGGTCGGGGTGTCCCTGCCGGACCCTAAAAAACTAGGCCCTGAGCTGGGTAACCACGACTCAAAGGTAGCGCCAGTCTTACAGGGACTAGGGCCAGACTAGGGCTAAGGCTGACCCGGCCCAGGCCGTTACCACCCCCACGGCTTTGTGGCACATATTTGGACGGGTAATTGCTTGGAGACCACGAAGTGTGGAATGCTGCTTTGTGGAACTTTTTCTTTTTAGTAGTAGTGGGACCCCATCCAAGTTCATTTGTTTGTAACCTAATTTATGAGAATGTCAATGATTGTCATTATCCAGGAGAAGTATATGGTAATTATGATTTTTTATATTTGGTATAAGGTCATAACATGGATATAAAATTGGGTGGCATGTTTTATTAACTAGAAACATTTTCGCGTGTTTGGTAACTATGAATATAGGAGAAAATGACATGTTTACTCAGTTATCTTATTTTTCTTTTTTTTAGGAAATGAAGAAAATAAAAAATAAATAAAAAAATGACATGTTTTTTCAGTTATCATATTTTCCCCCTTTTAAGAAAGGAAAACAACGTGGAAACTTGGAGCCCTGCATTTCCATTCTTTTTCGAAGTTTTAGGGAAAACTTCAACGCACTCTAATGGATGTGCTGTGATTGCTCAGGAAAATGGGAAAAAGGAAGATCCTCATTGTTCTTTAATATTTTTAACCATAGGATCTCTCTTTCATCTGGATCTCTATTTGCCTAACCTCATGTTACCAAATATAACGTTAATTTTTTTTTCTTTTAATTTTATCAAATTTTATTTTTAACAACTAAAGGTGATTGTAATATTATTATATTAAAAGTAAATTTTTTCTACAATATATATTTTATGTACGAAAACTCTAATATATATACATATATAAATAAATAAAAAGTATGCGTCATTATCTACCCCTAGAGAAAAATGAGGGAGGTGTTTTGGTTAATGGGAACAAAACATGAGGGTAATTTAGGCATAACAAAGGGATCAATTGACCTTTGATTAATTTTCCAGAAAAATCCAGGGAGAATATTAGTCTCATTGAAAATATAAATAAACATTCAAAATTAATGAAGTGAAAAGAAACCTTGTAATTGATTAGGGAACAAATTATTGTAAAATTAAATTATTTGTTTTTTCTCACTATATAACTGGTCACTTACAAAGCCAAAGGGGGAAAAGTAAGCTCCTCCCAAGACTTCCTCTAATTTTCCATAAATTATAAAAATCATCTTATTTAGAGAAGGATGTTTGGTCTTGCACTCAGGTGAGATTTTCTTGCTTAATATTTCTGAAAATTTTAATTTTAAATTTGTTTTGTTATCTTTCTCCTTTTTTGGAGTAACCTGAGCTCTAATCCCATAGTTTTTATTTGTTCAGTGAGTTATTTACCTCCAAAATCATTAAATGAAGTTGCAGAAGCATCAATTTCTTATTCTCCAGCTGTTGATCTTTTTTTTTTTGTTGTTTTTTTACTTTTCTGATCTTCAAGTAGTATTTTCTCTGGGAGTCTGGTTTTGAGTATTGATGCTTCCTTTTTTCGATAAATTAGTAACCTCTCTCTCTCTAAAAGAGCAACTTTGTTTCTCTCTCCAGTCTTCTCTTATCTTTCTCTCTCTAGATCGCTCTCTCTCTCTCTCTCAGACTCACTAGGTTTTTCAGTTTTTCTCTCAGCGCGTTCTAGAGAGAGAGACTTGACATTGCACGTCTGAAGTCAAGGCTCTCTCTCATCTTCACTGCTCAAGAAATTCTACCGAGCGTGTTTCTCTCTCTAGAAAACAAGGGTAGCACTCTAGAAATCATTTATGACAAAATACAATCCTGAAATTAGATATTTGTTGTTGAATTTTGCATCATTTGGGAAAATAAAGTTTGCATTTATTTTGGTTAAATATAAATAATGCTATTATTTATTATGCAAGATCACTCGGAAGGAAGAATTTGATTGTTGGAGATTTGAGTGGGAAACAATCGAGGTTGCTCTCCACACAACAGAGAAGGTACATTGCATTCTCTTTTACAATTTTAGATATGGGTACGGTTTGTACAGAGCCTAAGGCTCGGAACAATCAAATTAGAGCGTACCTTCAAATAGTATCGGGAAATATGGTTTTAATATTCGAAATCTTTGTGATAGCTTTAAAATATATTTGTATATTTATTTATGAAGTTTAAAGCTTAAAAAATAGTATAGATCGACAGATCTATGAGAACTTTAAAATATTAAAAATTGATTGTCAAAAAATGTGTTACAAAATACACTATTTTCAAAACTAAAAATCCATTTTTTTCTCATGTCCATGCATCTTGATGTTGAGATGGCCGATTTGACGATATTTGGGCATCAAAACAACCTCTTTTATTGAAATTTTTGGGGTAGGCTCAAATTTGATTGTTTAGAGCCTCGGCTCTATATAAACTTGTCCCTTTAGATATATATCTTCTTGTATAAAAAAGTAAATGGTCTCCTTGAATACAGTTCCAATAAAGGGTGAGATCTGTATAAATTGCCCACACTTCTAAATTTTGCTAGCAGATGTAGTTTCAGTGTCGAAAATCTTAATATAGCCAGAAAATTCATGTTCAACCTAATTACAAAGTTCAAAATTCTAAAAAATGGTACAATCAAGTAAATCTATAAACACTTGAAAATCTTAAAAATAGATAATCTAGATAATTCGTTATAAGATGCACTATTTTTAGGATTTGAAATTATTACTTTTCTTTATATCCATAAATCTGGAGGTCAAAATGATCAATTTGAATATTTTTTCCAATTTCGAAACACATTGTTCTACTGGATTGTTTAAGCACACCTTATTTCTATAGGATAAAGTTGCAACCATATATAATTTTTTTCCATTTACTCATGATATATTTTGAAAAGCTTACATAGGAACATTTGTTGGATGGTAAAAACAAGTAAATAAGTCAGTGGGGATTTGGGTCCTATCCTTTGGTGAGAATAGGGATTTACACCCGCCGGTTAAAAACCTATCTACTGAAATTTTTGTGAGCTAAAAATTTCCCTCTAATAATCTTAGATGCATCCCAAGATCAATCCATAAAAAGAGGAGCTTAAATTCCACATCTAACCCATGAAAACAGACTATCCAATTTAGAGGGAACTTAGTGCAAGTTTTTGAGCTCCAAGTGTACATTTTTTAAAGTTGAACTTGGAGAAAAAATAAAATAAAAAGAGTCCTCGGTACACTGACATTTAGACAAGGCGTTTCAACCGGTTTTGACCAAATGTACAATTTTGTTCCACGGGGCCACCCAATCCTTTTCAACAAAAAGGGGGCTGCCAGCCCGAGCACTCTTATATGTACGGCCCTTCTCTTATTCAAACTTATAAATTCTCCTCTACTGTCTAAATTTAAGTGTAAGGCCCTTCTCTTATTCAAACGTATAAATTCTGCTTATAAATAAATGTAAGAAAAGTTTTACACTAGCTGTCAGCCTAACACAACCTTCGTCATTTTTCTACTAGCATTGGATTTCAACCATAAAATACTTTTTCTATCCCATCTTCATTGTATAATAAATATTAATTAAAGCTTGAGTACTTCAAATAACTATTGGATACTATATTGTTACACAGGCTCGAGGGGAAAGTGACAATCATAACCGGGGCCGCCAGCGGGATCGGTAAGGCTATCGCAGAGGAGTTCATCCGCAATGGGGCAAAAGTGATAATCACCGACGTCCAGGATGCCCTTGGCGAGCAAACCGCTGCACAACTCGGCCCCAACGCTTCATACTCACATTGTGACGTTACGCAAGAATCTGAAGTCTCAGCTGTTGTCGACCTTGCAGTGTCCGGTCACGGCCGCCTTGATGTCATGCACAACAATGCTGGGGTCCCCGGTCCCCTCATCCCTAGTGTCACCAATCTCGATCTCACCGACTTCGACAAAGTCATGCAAGTGAACCTCAGAGGAGCCCTAGCTGGCATGAAACATGCAGCTCGAGTGATGATACCTAATAAAAGCGGGTGTATACTTTGCACAGCCAGCATTACAGGAATATTGACTGGACTTGCTCCCCACCCTTACTCAGTCTCTAAGTTTGCCATCATAGGGCTTATGAAGTCCATGGCTAGTGAGCTTGGGAGGCATGGGATCAGAGTGAATTGCATATCTCCATTTGCCATACCGACTCCACTAGCACTGGATGGGATGGCACATATGTTTCCGGATATGGGGGTGGAGAAGAGGTCAGAGATTTTACGGGGGACAGGGGAGCTCCAGGGGGCGAATTGTGAGGTAGAGGACATTGCAAAGGCCGCGGTTTATTTGGCGTCGGATGATGCAAAGTATGTTAGTGGCCACAATTTGGTGGTGGATGGAGGTTTCACCATCTCTAAGCAGCTGGGGCTTTTTCGACCTAGTTAGCAAACTAGTCTATTCCTTAGCTTCATATCTGATGTGAATGGTTAGCAGCTTTACATCTCAAGTTTGATTATTACCACGAACTACCAGAAAAAGAGAGAAAAATAACAAAACAAACGGAGCTCACATGGTGCATCTACTGCCTTGACCACCTCTAGCTAGAGCCCATTCTCTCAGCAACAGCCATTGTAGCCATTGCGGTTGGGCACGAGATCAGTGGTGTACGTTTTTCTTTTTTCTTTTTGAACATGTACTCTTTGGCTTTCCTATAAAAGAACACAAGGAAAATTATGAGTTCAGTGAAATTGAGCCGAGTTTCTGGGCTCAATCAACTTGAAATGGCTGTTAACAAAAATGAAAGGAAAACACAAAGATGGTAAATGCACCCACAAGGTCTGTAGTCATCGATTGACGGCTGAGATGAACTGTCCTCCGCTTGAGGACAAGAAGTTCAGCTTGACAGACTTGGGCGGAGAAGCAGTACATAGCCAAACAAACAGTGGTGATGCATTTACTTTACAAATATGGTAAATGTAACCACACTTTCCCTAATTAAATTGCTAAAAACCACTGTTGTCTATAACCTTCAGCCATGAATCATGACACTTGGTCTCTAGTTCTACAACTTGCATCGGTTCAAAGTTCATACCATGAAAGTTTTTCACCCATGCAAATTGTGCAAACTTTAGCCAGAAAGTTAAAACATAAACATAATCAGGGCAGGGTAATGAATACTCAGACACTGACGTCAATCATTCGGGCAGGGTAATGAACACTCCAATACTGCAGTCGATCATTAAAGTAAAAAAGGAAATACTTTGCCATTATGAACAGAAACGGGATTTGAGCTTATTCCAGACTCACGTTGTTACTACAATACTCATGAAAATTAATGTGCAGCGATGCCAACGTTTCTTGTTATTACAGAACAGATGCCGATGCATATGACTTTGCCGACTGGAATCAATCAATACATCCATTCAGTAATAAAGCAAAGGAAATAAAAAAAAAAATCAACGAGATTTTCTTCAATGCCACTTTGGGCATGCGAATCGATCCCTTTTTAAATGTTTCTCATCACGGCCTCTCGCATCACCTTCTCGGGGGCTGCAAGAATGGGAAGGTGATATTCTGAAGTTCAATATCCAAAACGTATAGGAACAAATGGAACGCTACATGTAATAACATTTAAAAGAATAAAAAAGAGAAGGATGAGATTTTTATAAGGTGTCGTCCTTGTACTGTAGAAGTAAGGCACAAGTCTAATTTTGTGGGGAGATGTAGTTTTGGTATCAAAAACCTTATGATGGCTTGGAAATCTATTTTTATCCATAGTTATGAAATTTAAAATACCAAAAAAGTGTACAAATCGAACAAATCTTGAACACTTGAAAATATCAAATATAGACGGTCCTGAAAATTCGTTACAAGATTCCCTATTTTTAGGGTTCGAAATTCTTTGTCTTCATATCCACATATATTGAGGTCGAGATGATCAAATTGGAGGGCTTTCAACCATCGTAATTCTATCTTCTAGAGGATTGTTGATGTGCTATCTTAATTAAATAGTATAAGGTTGACACCCTATATAAACCTCTCTCAAAAGAGAAAGGTTAGATGTAAAAAAAAACCTCAACTATCTATATTAACAAAATAATTATAATAATATTTATAAGGAAAAGTATACAAAGATATCATTTACTTTCAGTGCAGGGAGGTGACAATCACTCTTGTCCGTCAGATTTTAATTTGGGTGATTGTAATTGTGTCATTGACTAGACTAAAAGTTAAAAAAAAACTTCGTCGAACTTCACGACACACACTAAGCCAAAACCATTCAAATTTGATATTTAATGGGTAGGAGTGATTGTGACCTCCTTGTAATAATGGTAAGTGGTTTCACAATATACAATCCCTAATTATAATGATTCAAACTTGTTAAAATTAAAGGCCTTTCCCTTACCTCGTAAACCAGTGAAGAGCTCAAATTGTCCCATTGCCTGCCTAATGAACATCTCTAACCCACTCACAACAGTGGCTCCAACTTCCTCAGCTTCTGTCAAGAGCCTAGTGACTTTCGGAGTGTAAACCGCATCGAAAACCACGCTATAAGATTTCAGTGCTTGCTGAATTCACACCCATATGCACCAGTCTCCATCATTGTCGTGATCATTTAATAAACCCCAATAAATTATTAGAAAAACATATGCTGCTATAATAGTTAATGAGATTGAGATCAAATCAAGAATCTCATTTTCGATCAAATCACACAAGCTCCATCTCTCTCTCTCCCACACTCACACACACACACACACATGGGTGCGTGTGCCTTTGCAAGCACACACATAATTCAGAGCTATCATCGACAAACTGAATGAAAATTCTGAAAATGAGAAATACATGATAGGTTTGGATCTTGTTTTTTAGCTTGTAATTAGTTGTGTTTAATTTGGGCTTAGCGGACCAGGAGGTACAGATAGGACACAAACCTTTGATATCGGTGTCTCGTCAATGTTTGGATGCATCCCTATGGATGTTGAATTTGCAAGTATCATCCCTTCGTCAGGATGAAAGCTCTCCAAATCACCAAGAGATATAGCTTCTCCTCCAACTAAACTTGCAAGAGCTTTTGCCCGATCTTTTGCAGAGGAAAAATGTTAATCGCTTCTCATAACAGCCAAGAAAAACATCTCAAAATTCTTAAATACATACATAAGCAAACATCCATATAGAAACACACACAAACACACACATGCACACACAATACACACAAACATCACCATCTGTGCATCCACATACACACGCACACACCTTTAACTGTACATATAACCTTATATACATGAATATGTGTGGGTATGTGTGAGAATGTGAGTTAGAGAGAGGGGCAGGAGGTGGGGGTAGAGGAGAATGACATACCATAACTACGGTTGGCAATGACTATTCTTGCTCCCTTTCCCTTGGCACCAAAAGCAAGTGCCTTACCAGCACCACCCGCTCCAATGACCACAAATAGTTTACCAGCAAGAGGTGACCCTATTTTATCTGTTGCACCATAGGAACCTGCAAATATATAGAGTTCTCTGTTTTAGCAAGTATTTATGAGATGGAAGACACATGGAAAGTGTATTACAATCCAGTGGACTACGCAAAGTCATATTCCATTAAATTACGATGATGGACGGTTTCAAGAGAGCGTGGAAACAACCAAAACAGGACATGACCTCAATGGTTGGTCCCACTCTCCCTCCACACTGTCCATTAATGCCTTTGAGATTGGTGCCCCATGGACTATGGCTTACCATAGCTCATCGGATTGTTGATTTCTTTTCTTCAGAAGCACCCCTTTTTATTTATTTTATATAGCAGACAGTATCCCATTGGTCTAATTCCAGACATTCTGATCCATCACTACTCCACAGATATGAAGAGGCAAGACTGAGGTTTCAGTCCTCAGACTTATGTGACCATCGAGGAGATAGGCAATAGAGCATGAAACTTACCTCTCATCCCATCCTCAATGGCAGATATAGCCCCTTGATAGTCTGTGTTGTATCCAACCAACTTTCCATCACTCTTTCTTCGGACGATTGTATTTACCGCACCAATAGACTGCATAATATAAGCAAAAATGACCATGATTTAGAAAAGGAGACTCAACCCACCTAGACCAGCACTCCTTTATGGCAGAAGGAGTTCATATATTTTCTCATGCCTCAAAAGTCTTGTCTGAATTTGGAAGTTATTTTACCTTGGCAACTGGATCAACTTCATCACAACATTCAACAGCAGCCTCCTTATGAGGTATTGTACAGCTGCAATAGAAATTAAAATACACTTTTCACTCACTTTGAATTCTTTGTTTGAAAAAATAATTACTCCAGAGGAGCACCCAAAATTATCAGAGAGTAGTTTGCCATAGAATCGAATGAATCGTAGAACTTCTATAGATTGCATGCAGATTTTCACTATAGGACATAGTAGATGCAAATGGATATGACCCAAATGAGGAACTGTTTTTTTAACCTGTTAACTTTGTATTAAAAATGAGGAACTTGACAGGAGCAGTAGAATATAGCAATCTGTGGCCAACAAGGAACACTAATAGCTAAAGTACAAAACAACCACACCAAGGAAAAAATTCACGAAAACAGCAAAACACAAGGATAATCTATTAAATTGTAGAGGACCAGTACCAGAAGATTCAATAAATCAGAGGAAAAAAGAAAATGGTTCGGCACACGTCAGTCAGAACCAAGGGAGGCACAGCACAATTGAAACAGAAGTAAGTGTTTGGGTGAAGACATTACCATAGAGTACCTAAAACTACATTAATTCTTTAAAGAGAAAAGTATCACTAGGTCAGATAGTCAGATTGAAACCTGACAGACTGAAAGCAGGTCAGCCAAAAAAAAAACTTTTCTATTGTGAGGGTGGAGTAGATTTAGGGTGGACCCTTTGATATGGTGTCTCCAACCACATTAAGAGCCTTGAAATGCATAAAATATACATACAACCTTGCAACTATGCAAGCCCAAAACGAGAAAAGCTGCTGGACCGAGTTTACTCTCAATATTGGGAAACTACTTCATCCCAGGATTGCTCTAAAGGGCATGTGGGACTTGGGTTCCAACGAGAAAGCTAACACCTATGATGCTAGACTTGCTAGTGACCTTGTCCATGGACACATATAATAAGTATCAGAAATGTCTAGATCCCAAGGTACATACAGGATAGGAGAAACACAAAAATTTCCTTGGATCCCATTCTGTGCATATGTAATCGTCGTAAGAAGCAATCTATGAAAGGTTCTGGATAAATTACAATTTAGGACCAAGAGTTTGTCTCCAATGTCTTCCCGAGGTGGTTGGTTCAGCACGAAGCCATTCACCTCATTACCCATTTCAACCATCTTACAGGGGATATAGTCATCGAATCAAGCCATTCATTATAGCACATTCAGTGAGTTCACAATCTCCATATGCAATTAAGCTCAAATTCAAGAATACTGTATTTTAAGTCCCCATACTTGCTTTGGATAGTACAGTAGGACCTCAATTCACGTTTACCTTTTATTTATTTTGACTTTTTGTAGGTCAGCAGAACTTCTAAACCTCAAATCAGGTACTTTAGATAGACAGCTCATACATTATCCATCCTTCTCGAAATGAGATAATATGAGAATCTTTCTAGAACCGGGCCACACACACATAGAGGTGGTGAGGCAGAATCTCCACAACTGCATTGTGTGTGACAATTACATTTCCTCCATTGTAACATTGATTATGCATCAAGTCTCAAACGCTAGTTTTCAGCGATGAAAAGAATTCCCAAAAGACATTTACAAGATCCACTTGAATATTCAACCACTAACACCGTGACTGAGAAGTATAGGTATCACAACTCTAAGAAGTATCAAGGGAGACAAACGATTGGATCACTAATTGTATAGTCAGGAAAGAAAAACAGAGGATAGTTCTCATTTGTTCTAGTAATTCATTTCATTAATTCTTCTGATAACCACATGAAACATACAAAACTTCAAATATTATAAAGGACAAAACCAATTTGCCTATCTTTCCGGGCATATTTAAGTTTTACAAGGAAAGGAACATACCTAAAACCAGAAAAATCTGGTGATGAGTAGACATGGAGGAATTCCCTAAGGTTATCCACCAAGAAAGGCACATAGACAGCATTCAAACCAACAGACGTAAATGCTTCATTGTGTAAAATCGGTCCTTTGCTGTGGCCGACAGGATTACCAATGATTCCATAAACTTTTGTATCTCTGCCAATCTGTCTAATATTGTATACATTCAACAATTCTTTCATTGTTAGTTGCCCGGGAGCTGACTCTTTTCCAGCTTCAAGAGTACCAAAAGTAAGATATCCGCCGAACTTGGGGCAAAGGATCCGAGAGATCCACCCTCTCTCTCTCATGACCAAACCTATAATAGGGACCTGAAAATACAATGTCAGTTTCCATTTCAAAAAAAAAAGAACGATTAAATTAAATTTATTTGTACATTTTTCATTACAGTCAATTTGTTAAAGCAAATTTTCTTGATGAAACATAATCTAAATGGGATTTCAGAAATTCCAAGTTCCATAGATTATCCACTGAAAAAAATTCAAAAATTTCTAGCTCTATAGATTATCCACGGAAGAAGTCTTCCCTACATTGGAATGGATTTTATTAATTTATCATATACAAACATCCTCAAAAGCTAACAATTCACAGATAATAAGCAATGTAAAGTTTGACATCCAGCAAAGTTCAATATAGAAGAATATATCATCATCATCATCATCATTATCAGAGCCTTTTTCCCAACTATTTGGGCTATACGAATCATGGTCTCAAGGATCATACCCTCAATGAAGCCATACGTCCCCATATCTTTAATCACTAATTCCAACCATATCCTTTTGGGCCTATCCCTTGTCCTTTTTTAGCCTTCCACTTGAACCAACTCACACCTCCTAACAAATGTTGTACTGGGTCTCCATTACACATGACCAGCTCATCTAAATTTACTTTCTCAATGTAGAAGAATCTATCTTTTAAAAATAAAAGCATTTCCTATCTTTTTTTAACAAGCTTGAAGCCTAATAACTGTCATGAAGCACTTGTACCAATAGATTATAATGCACAAACCTACTAAAAAGATCACATTTATTATTATCGTCTGTTTTTTTTTTTTTTTGAGAAGGTTAACAAATCACAATTATTAATTTTATAACACGAAAGCATGCTTTTATGGCTCAAGTTCCAATAGACAGAGAGTAACTAATCGTATTAAACCCAGACTTGTAAAAGTTGAAAGAAAGGCTAATGTGATCTTGCCGGAGAATTTTTTTTTTTTTTCTTGTTTTCACCCCTTGTCTTTTTGTTTCTTTTTTTTTTGGCAAATGTCACTTACAAATACTTTTATTACAATAACTCTTGCTTCAAAGAAAATAAACAAACAATCCAAGATCTTAAAAACCTTGATGCCACTAAACCAATTGTTTTTTAATCAAAGTAAATATCAACAACTCTTATATTTGGGAATATAAAAACAATATAATTAAATATGGCAAGAAACAAAAAGAGCGTGCTAGAGATTACCTCAATCGGGCTTATTACACTTCACACGGATTCACCACCATCCGATAGCATGGGATCAATGATAAACCTTCAATCTCAACCGGGAAAGCAAGTTTAGGCCAAGCCACACCAATGGAACATGAACCCCATTGATCACAAACTCAAATCCTAGGTGAATTCCTTTAGCAACCTAGTTCGAGAGAGATGAATTTTCTTTTTGCTACACCCTAAAACCCTTAGCCATAAATTTATAGTTGAGAGATGGGAGAGATAAGAACTCCATAGCCTAAATCCTTAGCCCCTTTTCACAATGTGGGAGAGAGAGAGATCTCAAAGATGAGAGAGTGGGGCGTGCCCCCTTTGGGTTTTCATGATAAAGAGAAACTTTCTTAAGAGAGAGATGGAAAGATAAGGTGTAGAGATTTTAGGTAAAGAAAATCTCTTTTTATAGGCTTTAAACAAGATTAGGGTTTTTTAGGGTTTTCTTTGGCTTGCCTCTCATGTAAGATTGAATATGAACCATTGATCATAAGTGATTTGTGGGGTGAGAGATTTGAGCCCTCCATCCCATAGATGGGCCATCAACATCATGAAAGGTGTTAGAACCTCTATCCCCCTCTTTCCTTTGACCAGTATCCCATCAATATAAATCAAATAAAATAATATAAATCATAATGTTGTGCTTTATCCAAAAATATGCACAAGCCTTATCATGCTTTCTAAAAGATTCATTCAAATATTTCTCAAGATAAATCACCTTTCCAAATCTCATAATAACTTGGCCCCTAAGCCAAAGTTCTTACTCTTATCAACTCAACCCTTCAAAATAAGCAAACCTCCTAAAAGTGGGGCTTGCCACCCACGGGGATAGGAAGCCCCTAAAATTGGGGCGTGCCACCCATGTGGTGGCTTTGTTTGCCCCTACCAATTTAGGCCATGGAGGGCTCATGTGCACAATGGGCCCCCAATGCTTCTTAAATTTTTTCTAAAAATTAATAAAAGATTTTAGAATTAATTTGAATATTTAAAACATTAAAAATCAATATCTTACTTTTTATAAATCCAAAATTTATAAATAAAATATCCAAAGATCTAGAAAATTTCAAATAATAATTCTAAAATCATATTATCATAAAATAAACACAATTAAATTCATTAAATGGGATAAGGATCCATATAGTTTGGGAATAAACATTTGGGGCACTCCACCTTCAACCGTGGACTATGGTCCACACTTGCTTTATCAATCGACCCAGTATTTTCCATGACCGACAGTCTATGCAAGGGCTCATTAGTGGGTCACCAAAGTCTGGCTGATGAGCCTAGGGATTGAAATCTTAGTTTGTAGATTTCAGGTTCTCCCCTAGAGATGTGCTAAAGTCACCTAGACCACAGCTCCTATGGTGCATAGGGGTATCTTCGCACATGCATAAGCTTCACCCTAAAAGATGGTTTACTTTTCTGAAACGGCTATTATTATACATGTTGTGTGATGGACATGGATGAGGCCGTGGCCCCCATCTCTGAAGGCCACCATCACACACAAGGGTCACACAGTCCCTCAGCTCACTCATCCGGACATACTCCGACCTCATCAAGGGGTGAATTATTAGAACTCTTATCGGATAGTTTTCTATGCATAGGTAACATAGGTTTTTCCCAACCAACTGGCCTAGCACGACAAGCACAGTCTAGTATCAGTAAACATCGTTTGTTTAGTACGGTCCACAATGGACCACACTCCCACTGAGTTCATGTTCCACTATATCATTTCATTTTACAAGCACTCATAAGGCCTTTAATGGCCACACTCACCCAACAAAAGTGTGCCAACATTCATTAATCAAATCGAAATCTACTGCAAACATGGTGTCCACAAAACATTATTTCCAAAGAAGGGAGTTACACATATATGATGCACTTCCAATCAATGTTTTAAGAGGCAGACTCATATTGGGACTCGCCATAGTGCAGATCCCAACTGAATTGGTAAGACTTTGCTAATTCTTAAGAGAGTCGGTAGAGGCTTTCCAAGACTTTTCTGACTCGGCCCTGGCTGATCTGAGGTGAGTTGACTTGGGAAAGTCTTGAGTTGACTGGTCATTTTTCTAGAACCTTAATTCCAAGTTCCAATAAGTGAAACAAAAAAAAAACAGACCATACTTCCTATTAAGGGTTACATATTTACCTGACAATGCACTAGTATATGGAACATGCGTGCCACATCTATTATGTTTGTGGCAGTTGTTGCAATCTTGACAATGTCAGCTCCAGTAGCTTGTATCCTTGCAACGAGGTTGCCAAGTTCTTCTAGGGATGGAGTAATTTGGTAGTTGTGGGAAGAAACTATAACCTTTGAGCTCTCAGGCTTCTTTTCTGACATGGAACTCATGAAGTCATGTGCAACCTTCAAAGATGAAAGAAAATAAAGTTTTAAAGGTTTGAAATGTCCCATCCTGAAAAAAAATTTTCTACTAATATATTTCATGCAGCATAGTACCGTCAATTGGGAAAAACAAAAGAAGACAGTTTTCTCATTCATGAGATGAATCTATCTCCCCATCCATCCATTAATATGCATTTCCAAAATTTGGCAAACATTTAGTGCAACAAGGGACGACAAAACCAAAAACTAGCCACAATATGACAACGATAACTAGCCACATATCATGAAGTTTCTACCCATGTACTCAAAAGGGTAAACCACTCAGATGAAGCAAATAGAATATTTCACTGCATGAGACCTGAAGCTCCACATCAATATAATCTGCACCCATCTCCATGGCTAGGCGAAGTACATCCAATCGGGTATGATCATCACCTTCATACTCCCCACCCTCCCATTTTGGCCTGATCGAGTACATATCAAAGTTACTAGCTGTAATAGAATAAGAACTTGATATACTAGAATGAGTAATGGAATTTTAAAAATTTTCTTTCTATGCCAAATCAAAACCACTTGAAGTGGTTAATCTACTAGAGGGGAACATCCTTGTTCAACTAAATAACCATTGTCTCGCTAAAGGAGATCTAACAAGTTCTGCATTAATATTTGATAAGAAGGGCTGTGTTTCTCTTTATAAAAAGCATCTTCCATTAGAGCAATAAAATTTTCTAGCACCTTCCCATATATTGGAACAACCAGGTGATGCAAGTGAACAAAGGATTCAGGTTTAATATTTTTCAATGGTTTTTCATATCTCTCACAATTGGTGAACAGGATCTATTTTGTTATCTATCTTGTAACTGTCACTAGAGGTACAATGTTTTCATACTATCCATGAATCATGTTATTATTTTAGAAGATGGACAATAAGTAATACAAATCAAATCAAGTTCAGTTTTTTAAAGTGTGAAGAATAAATTTAAATCAAGTAATACATATTTCACAACTTATGTTAATACTTACATTTATGTTTCCAACAAATGCCGTGAAAAGCCCTTCTTTTTTTCTTTTTTCCTAGTAAGGTTTTTTTTTTTGGTTTGGGGGGAATCCTTGACAAGGTGACTCCCAAACAAAGAGATACATGGAAAGGGCAGAGCAAAGGGGACAAATAAAATGGAAAAGGATGCCTAAAAGAGAAAAAGAGGAAACAAAAGCACCGCAAAGGTGAAAAATGCGATGGATTTTTTTTTTTCTCCTCGAAAGATAGAAGACTCCATCGTCATCATCGTCAAAGCCCTTTCGCAACTAATTGGTCTAAGAAAGGTGAGGACCTTAAACTTTCCCTTAACCCATACCAAGAGTAAAAAAGGTGGGTTGTGTTAGGTAGGCAGCCAATGTAAAACTTTGCCAGAACTTTCGATGAAAGATAGAAGGCTCATTGGTAGTAAATAACAACTTGAACTGCAAAAGATAAATGGACGAGGAAAGGCCTCACAATCAATCCCAGAGATACTCATAAGCCTAATCTAGAGATAATCATAATCCCAATCTTAATGAACAGCAAGTGGGCATCCCTATATAGCTCAAAATCACCCAAAACATGCATATACTCTAACAATGCAAAATTATATTATCTCCTAGGAACCCCATCACTTTGTTACACTGCATTAACATCTACATTTTAGCATCATCGCAATATGGCATTCATATACCATCAACCAACTCGCTTTTGGCCTTGTACTTTCAGAGATGTTTCATGGGTGACTCATCTCGATAATGGGGAACCAAGAACTATACTCATCTGTTAGTTTCATGGAATTGCTCATCTTATACAAGATAGAACCACCCACCACACCTTATTCTAGCATAGAAAGAAAGTAATGCAATGTATTCCCCTCAGAATTTCCTCAGTTCAAGATTCTACGAGAATTGCAAGAAACATATATGCAGAAGATAACCCATCAAGAACCCATGATAATGCTTTCAAAAATTGAAGAGTTAAGCAAAACTACAGCTCCCATGTATCTTAACTATGGTTGAAAAACATATTTATAGGGATAGCTTATGCTTAAGAGCTAGCTTCATTCTACCTTGCCTCATAAAATTTATGACATATAAAACCCATATAAGAAAACCAACAAATTTCTGAAACAAAAGAGGAAATCAGTATGAATACCTGTATGTGACAAGTGCAGGCAACGGCCTATCACTTAAAAGGCGTTGCAGATCTTCAGAAGGTCGAAAGGCCTCGAGATGGTCCAATCTGATCTCAACAAGGTCAGCACCACTAGCCTTAGCACGATTCATTTGAACCAGCATGTCCTCAACATTGTGAGAAATCAAAGGAACACAGAGAAGAGTTGTGTTTTCCCCCATTTTTCTCTGCAACTTTATTTAGTCTCAGTACCCAATCGAATCCACCATTAAACAGAGAAGAGATGGGATTGAAACCCAGAATAAATATATAAATAAAAACCCCAAAAACAAGAAGACTGAATCTGGCTAAAAGATTAAAAATGGCGGCCTGAAGGTTAGGTACAAAGAACGTTACGATAGAGAAAGCGAAACGCACTAAAGCATGAAAGAGAGAGTGAGAGTATAGAGAAGAGAGAGGAGAGAGGAGAGAGATGTAAGAAACTGTATTTTTTTTATATTTGTACCTTAGGCTCATTAAAGATTATTTAATAATAATGCAAAGAACTCTATGTTTATTGATTGAGCATAATGACTATACAAGCTCCTTATAAATATGCGGCCAGTAATAATTAAAAATAAATATCAACAGTTATAGATAACTATTCATTAATATTATTATAATCAAAAGACACTTAAGAGATATATATCCATACATACACATATCTCATTATGTATTCATAATAATATATATCAATATAGATATATATACTCTAATACTCCCCCTCAAACTCAATATGCTTTTGCACAAAGAAGCTGAGTTTGAACAATAAGTTGGATCTTTAAATCTTCACGTGCATGGTGTAACCAATAGAAGCAGTCGAAGCAATAGTTTCTTGCTTGAAGAAGAAGTACAGAGGAAGCACTGGTCTCTTTCTTGAAGAAGAAGCACAAAGGAAGCCGCGGTCTCTTGCTTGAAGAAGAAGCGCAAAGGAAGCATTGGTTTCTTGGAAGAGCCAAGAGAACTAAGTGTGGATCCGGGACATATTCAGCAACTCGCAGTCTAGAACACAAGCCAAAATAAAGACAAAGGCTCTTTTACAAAGAGTATTGCAGAGATTCGAAGCACGACTCGACAGATAGTCGAATAAAGACTTCGCAGATAATGCAGATCGGCCGTTTTAGAGGCCAGTGGTTGAACATAAAAGAATCTGCAGCATGTGGAGGGAGAGAACCATCTATGAAACCCAATTTGTTTTACCATCTATGAAACCCAATTTGTTTTTGGCATTCAAAGCCATACGCATAGCATGCAACTAGCTATAATAGTTGTCGCCAAGAAGAACTTTGGAGACAAGAACAGTCCCTGGACTATCGGAATGATGAATGTAATATGAGAAAGATGAATAAGCATCCGCCGAGATTCCAGAAAGAACATTGGAAAACCCTATCTCAGAAAAACCCAATGAAAGAGTGGGCTCTGTCATGGCGGTTGAAGAGGAAGGACATCAGAGAAATTCAATTTTTGTTTTTTTTGAGAAAGAAGACGATGCAGATCAAGTTACGATAATTATGGATCTCAATAAGAAGAAACTAAGGACAAAAATAAATGATAAACTTACTAAAGATGCTTCAAAAGCTTTAGATTATTGGATTGACATTCAAGACGTCGAACACGATCTGAATACCTAGACAGATGATTGGTTTATTGCAATGAAAGCACTTTATGAGGGCAGTGGTCAACACAATAAGGTATATGATTTTATGAGGTTGATGAGGAGAAGTAACCAAAAAGATGTGTTGAAGATGAGAGAGATAGTAATCAAAGAGATGGCTTCAAGAGAAAGTAACCAAAACGATGATTTCAAGAGAAAACAATAGATGGTATGGAAAAATCAATAAAGAATCAAGAAATGGAATGATAAAAAAAAAATATATGATGCAAGGGATGTAAACAAAATATAATATTAGAAGAAGGAACTTTTTGCCCAAAAAATACCTTATTGGAAAGAGAACAAGTACTTGAGTAATCAGATTTTTTTGGGAGATTGTAGATTCTGAAAAATTGTTTCCGGTGGAGTCACAAAAAAATCGATCGAGATTGAATACCTATAAGCCCCCACGATATAGGCACTACTCTGATACCATGTTAAAAACTGTATTTTTGTATATTTGGGCCTGAGGCCCCCATAGAAGATTATTTCACAATACTGTAAAGAATTGAATATAAATAATATACAAGACCTATATAAATATACGGCCAGTAGCAATTAAAGATAAATACCAACGGTTATGGATAACTACTAACTAATCTTATCATAATCAAGAGACACCTAAGAAATATATATCCATACATACACATATCGTATTATGTATTCATAATGATGTATATCAACATAGGTATACATACTCTAATATATGTTTAGAGTTATAATTTGTGGGAATATAGAAGGGTGTTATAATTTGTGGGAATATAGAAGGGAGAGAGAATATTTACGTCGTTCAGGTCTAACCCTTACATCCACGGATCCAGAGAAAAGAGAACCGATAACATAATATTTACGTGGTTCAGGCCGAACCCTTACGTCCACGAATCCAAAACCCGACCGGCTATATTTTCGATCCAGAGAAGAGAGAACCGATAACATAATATTTACGTAGTTTAGGCCGAATCCTTACGTCCACGAATCCAAAACCCAACCGGCTATATTTTAATTATATTAGATGAATGTTTACATCAATAAGTTCCTCTTTATATAGAGAACAATCACAATCACGTGATTAGAAGAGATAATTATGGTATGATAACTTGACGACCAAGTAACTTAGTCTCTATCTTCTAGATACCTAACCTTATCAAGAGATATATACACACACATCCATAGTGATATATATCAATATGAACCCAAGATATCTATATCCCAACACGCCCCCTCAAACTCAAGATACTTTTACACAAAGCAGCTTGAGTTTTAATAATACTAAGTTACCAAAAAAAAAAAATTACATGTTACCATGATCTTCCAAAAAACAACCTTTTTTGGCCTCTCTACTTCTTTTTAGAGACTTTCTCTCTCTAAGGTCTTCCAATAAACATCATTTATTGGGCTCTTTACTTTCTTCTCTGAAGATCTCTCTCTTTAGATGCTTCGTTTCTTTCTAGAGGCTTTCTTTCTCTAAAAGAAAATGATTTTTCTTTCTCTCTCTTCAGAACATCCGAGATCGAGTAATGAAAAAATCGACGATTATCACACATGATGGAGCAACGAAAAACTTCATCATCAAACAAGATCAAGGAACGGAAAATTTGTTCATCAACCTGGATCGAGAAATTCGATCATCTTCATTTCCTCATCTGGAGATGAAACTCTTGCTCAACAACCAAGACTGTGAAATTCGATCATCTTCATCTCCTCATCTGGAAACAAAACTCTTGATCACCAACCATAACTTCTCTTTGCATAGTAATCGGACTGATCCAGAATATGGATTTTCTTGTCTACATAGTGGTTACATTAGAGATGTTGACTTCATCTCTACTCATCTCATCTCCATATCTCTTATACTCTCCCCCTCAAGTTGGGTGTGGATGTGAAGAAACACCCAACTTGCAAAATACAATTTTTTTCTTCTTTTGAGTACAACCATATCAAAAAAAAAAAAAAAAAAAAATGCCAATGAAATTGGGCTTCTAGATAAAAGCCCACATATTAAAAAAAATACCATTTAAATCCAAATTTAAATGACGATCGTCTCTTTCACCAACAGATTTATGTGCTAACCCAAAAATCTATGCAAGACGATGTAGAAGCATGCGGTGGTAAGTATTCATTGGTACGAGCTCCAAGACAACCTCGAAGCATGTATTTCGTTGAAGGAATCCGACAAGGACATCTTCCATTGAAAGAATGAGATGCTTACAAGGTAAGTTATCTTTAATAAGAAAAGCCAATTCTTCCACCATAGTAAATTGATCCATGCCAACCCTGGAATCACCATCAGGTCTCTCCCCCTCTTTTTACCAACTCGATCCTTGGACATCATGGGAGAATAAAGGTCATGCTACCAACACATCAACGAGGATCGGTGGTTGCAAATGGTCTTGAAATTTCCCGATATCAGCTCTGATACCATATTAGAATTTTTGGGAATATAAAAGGGAAAGAAAATATTTACATGGTTCAAGTCGGACCCTTACATCCACGGATACAAAGAAGAGAGAACCGATAACACAATATTTACGTGGTTCTGGCCACAATATTTACGTGGTTCAGGCCACAATATTTACGTGGTTCAGGCCACAATATTTACGTGGTTCCGGCTACAATATTTACGTGGTTCAGGCCGACCCCTTACGTCCACGGATCCAAAGCCCAAGAGGCTATATTTTTATTATATTGGATGAATATTTACATCAATAAGTTCATCTTTATATAGAGAACAACCACACTATTAAAGGAGATAATTATGATATGATAACTTGATGACCAAGTAACTTAGTTTCTATCTTCTAAATACATAAATTTATCAAGAGATATAAACATGTACATTCTAAATACCTAACTTTATTAAGATATATATATATATATATATATATATATATACATCCATGGTGATATATATCAATATGAACCCAAGATATATATATCCCAACAAGAGATAGTGGGCCTGGTATATGGTGGGGAAAATATTTTTTAGAAGTAATACTTGATCGTACGTCAGGGGACGCTCTTGTACATGATGTAACATCCATCATGGAGTTTGACGTTGGAAAATGATTGTTCCAAAAAGCTTTAAAATCCAGGGTGTTAAAATTACCTCAAAATTTTTTATTATTTTATTTTTAACAATTTTTTTTTCAAATTAATACTTATCATTCTTGGAAGAAAAAATTGTTTCATGCGGGGCTAGACCGCATGGCACATATGCGGTCCAAAAAAGTGTAAAGCATTCGACGCAAGTAGGTGTTCCATCTAAAAATAATGAAAATTAACAGTTCCAATGTTTTCTTACTATAATTATTATTTTTAGTTTGTCAAATTTATTTATTTATTCATTTTCATGATCTCCATGTTAGAGATTACATGTACTTAAAAATTAAGTCCAAAAATCCATTTTAGAAGTAGATTTATTAATAAGCCCACATTTTTACATATGCGGCTTGGCCACATAGAAACTGGGTCCTAGTTAAAATTATACATTCTTCACTCTTTTGAATCCAAAATCTATATTTTAAAATTGATTTTAGAGAGATAACTCATTTGAATCGGTGAGTCAGCCCATTCATAAAACGTTGTCCATTTTAAAATGGAGAATGGTTCGATAGCGCTACGTCTCAAACAAAATTAGTAAAACCTCAACTCGTAACTTATGGTTGTGAAAAAAAATTAGGATGCTCTAAAAAAAGTATATATTGTAAGAAATTCTCTTGAACGTCCATTTTTTTTTTAAAATAAGTATTCAAAGATCCACAAGATCTGTACCATTTTTTG